GAGAATTCCCACTTTTACAAGCAGTTGTGCTATTCCTTCATAACTGAGGGTTCTCATTTGCTGAAAATGTAATAAAACATCCTTAGATGAAATGAAAACATCTACAAATAGAACAAAATAGTCACTTTATTCTGCCCACAAACATCTGAGCTCAGACTTTTTCTGCCCTAAATGGACAAGGCCAAAACCAACAGATACCCTGCAGTGCAACACAAGAATTATTCTGGAGAGGTTCACCTTTTTGCAGCACCAACCCCAACAGAGTTCAGTGCCACTTTCCTCCAAACAAAAGGCAAAAGTGTCCACAATTCTGCAAATTTTCATAAAGTGAGGCAGTATTGGTATACACTAGCATAAGCCTCTGCTTTTCCCCAGCATCTGAACTAAAAAGTATGGCTAATAGCACAAGCAGGCCACTTAGAAATTTGGGTGCCATTTATCAGTATATAAACACAGAATTTTGACAGGTCTCAACAAAAGCACAGGTAATGATTTTGTGCATGCTACCCAACTGGGTGGGTTCTAACCTACTAGTCAGTGCAAGAAGATTCTATACTCAAATTGAGATAAAAACACAATATATCTCAGTGTACCTGGCTGGCTGTTGGTAGAGCATACAACTCTTGATCTCAGGGTCGTGAGTTCAAGCCCCACATTGGGCAAAGAGCTTACTAAAAAAAAAAAGAAAAAGAAAAAAAAAACAAAAACAAAACACCCCACAATATATCTCATTTCTATATCATTCCCATTTTACAGATGCAAAACCAAGACCAGCTGTAATTAAGCAACTTCTCCAAACTTACACACTCCTGTACCACTACCTCCCTTTGATATCAGAGTATTTATTAGTACTCCATGATATCCAGTCATATTCCCTTAGAACCACCTATGTGTCTTACTAAGTTCTAATCTATTTGCAAAGCAGAAGCTGTCCTAGTCACACTTAGTAAATACCTGTTAAACAAAAGGGAGTTTCTTGACCCTCAGCACTAGTATTTCTTCTCATTAATTCAACAAATGTCTATTAAAAATTAAACATCTATTGTGTGGCAGGCACACTTTTAGGTACTTGGCATACATGATGAAGATAAACATCAAAAGTCTCACAAACGTATACACAGGAGACAGACTTGAATTTTGGGAAGAAACCCAGAATGCTAAGGGAGCTGGGGATGGGTGGGTAGGTGAGTGGTCAAATCCAGTCTTAGTGTCCAGTATAGATTACTGGAGCAAGTGACCGCTAGGCTGAGAAATGATGGAGGAGGAGTTTGCAAGCATGGAGGATGGGTAGAGGGAGACTGAAAAATGAGAGATCAGTAAGGGTAAAGGCCCTTGGGTGGGAAAACCCAGCTGAAAGACTCTGGTTGGTCTGCCTTCAATGTTCAGGACCCAGATAACAAAATGTAGATATGAGCTTCTTCAATAGGAGTGATTCTGAATTTAATAAACAGAAATTAGCTAACTTTAAAATGAAAAATAATCATCTTTCCAGTTCATTATTACGCTCTCAGATGTGAAAAATTAATCTGGTGCAGTGGTTCTCAAGCTTGACTTCACATTAGAATCTCCTGAGCGTTAAAAAAAAAAAAAAAAAAATGACATCCATGGTTTGACCCCCAGCCAATGAATCAAAATCTTGGAAGGTAGGGGCCCACGTACTGGTATTTTTAAAAAAGTTCCTCAGGTCATCCTGAAATACAGCCAGAATGGCTAACAGCAGCAACTCAAAAGGAGACGAGCACTAGCTGTTCTCCAGTCTCATCCTGAAATGACCCCTCGTCTTCCCATTGGCCGACTTCCTGTCAACCAAATCTCAGTCTAAACATTATGCCTCTGAAAGGCTCTCCCTGACCCCACTCGAAAGGAGCCACACCTAGTAAGTATTTACCACATCACACAGTGCTCATTCCTATCTGTTTGTCTTCTTTGTTAACTTCTTGTAGGTCCTTCAGACTAGGGATCTTGCCTGTGTTGTTCACTGCTGCACTTCCAGCAGGAGCTCAGTAAGTACTACATGAATGAAGGGAAAAAGGACAGGTGGGCACTGGGGTATCTCTCATGCAAATGGAATTAAAAAACAATATCCTGAAGCTATAATTCTGACAAATTTCGGCTGGGTATGATTAAGCCAGACAGATTGAACAGTATGGAGAGCATCTTTTAATTCTTAACTAAAAACTAGATACGAGCCAGACTTCTATTTCCAAGCAGAGCTCGACTTAGGAAGGAGACTGAATAACATACAGCATTTAGTCTGGACTGGAATCAACAAAGGTGGATAAAAAGTCTTCACACAGGGCACCTGGGTGGCTCAGTCGTTAGGCGTCTGCCTTCGGCTCAGGTCATGGTCCCAGGGTCCTGGGATCAAGCCCCACATCGCCCCCCCCCCAGCTCTGCGGGAAGCCTGTTCTCTCTTTCCCACTCCCCCTGCTTGTGTCCCCCCCCCCGCTATGTCTCTCGCTCTGTCAAAAAATAAATAAAAAAATCTTAAAAAAAAAAAGTATTCATACAGAGGAAGGGGTGATGAAAATATGGTCAACATTTCCATGAACAACAACAACAACAACAACAACAACAAAGAAACAGGTTAAAATATGGAGCAATTAAGATTTTAGCTTAGGTATAAGGAAAAACTCACTGAGGGAAAAATCCTGTGACACTAGAGTGGCCATTACAGATGGGAAGTAAAAGTGAATTTCTCCAAGTCCTTAAGATTGGCATAAAAATACTTCTGTTTAGAAGGGGTCATGCACAAGTACACAAAGGCAGATGAATATATAGGATGGCTAGACTTTTCTTTTGAGTGTTATTATTGTACTACAATATCCAGGGTATTTGAGTTTCCTACCCTGAATTTACTTAGATCTGGTACCACAAAAATGAGCGAAGGAGAGAACACGAGTAAAAACAGTACCAAGTAAGTATTTTTGGGAAAAGAGAAATATATTCATGCTTTTCTTTCCACAGAGAATATATGTTTAGACCTATGAACTAAGTTAATAATTCAGGCATAAAGGAAATATCTGAACGATTAAATTCACAAGTTACCTACAATGTACACTTAAACACGGGAATGCCAGCAGGAAGCCTTGCCAGAAGACCTGGGCTATGTCAGCATAAAACCAGCAAGGTATTGGGTACCACCCTTCTTTCAAAGCCAGTTTTGCTTCTAGGATCTACAGTTTCTACCAGTGGAAGCATCCCTACGCCAGACATTCAGCACTTAACCTCAACGCTCTGGAGCCACTTTTGTTCATTCCCACATTTAGTTAATCACCATGTTTTGTGGATTATTCATTTGTATAGAGAAAAAAAAAAGAGGGAGGGGAAATTTAGGGATTAAAAAGATTTACAAGACACATCAACAAAAAAAAAAGACCTTGTGTGGGTTCTAAGTCAAACAAACTGTAAAAAATATTATGAGACAAATCAGAAAATACAAGCACTGACCAGAGATACAGGAGGATATTTAGAAATACTGTTAATGCTTCTGAGGTGTGATGCTGAGACTGTGATTTTGTTTTCAAAATGCTCTTATCTTTTACAAATACACATTAAAAAATGTGCAGATGAAATGATATTCTGGATTTGATCCAAAACATTTCAAAAGATGATGGAGGTAGGAATATGGAGGAAAGAATAGATGAAATACGAGGTACTGCAGATTGCTGAAGCTGGGTAATGGGTACAAAGAGGTTCAATTACACTTTTCAATTTGGTTTATGCTTTTAAAATACCCATAACTTTAAAAAAATGGTAACTTATACATATGAATATGTTTTTTGATTTCCACATGCTATGTTCTTGGCTCTGAAACCTCAATGACTCCTAACTGCTTAAATATCTCAGAATAGCTTTCAAGTCCTTCAGAGTCCTTTGGTTACCCTTTTTTATATGACTATGTCATGGGCAAGGTCACCTGCCAATTCTTACTTGTCTGCTCCTTCTCTCTGACCCATGCTTCCCCATCTGCCTACTCGATTATCAGGCCACTTAACCAAACCATTCTCCTAATTTGTTTTCATGTAAAATACTCCCAATCCTCACCAAGATTACAAGTTTTAAGAGGAAGATTCATGTTTACATCTTTTTGTCTCTTCAGAGCTTAAAGCAGTGCTCTAAGTAGAGCGAAGGAGTTCGGTTCCTGTTTTTATGGTGGGCGGGATATAGGGAAACTGCTCCTTCATACTGCTCTACACTTACCAGAGTTTTTACATACAGTAGGCTGCTAATCCTTAGAAAACATCAAAGAGTTTAATTAAAGAGAGTCATAAAAGATAAAACTTTTTTTTAAAGGGGAATTCTGACATACAGTTAAATCTCACAATAATACGATGAATTATAAAGTCAGAGCAATAAAGGCTGTGGTTCTCACTACAGAAAGCTTCATTTCTGAGGCAGCAAAGTGATTTCCTCAATTAAGTCACTCGTCACCCCTTCAAAGTCCAAGTCCTATACGCCCTGAGACAAAAATCATATTAAAGATTAATTTTTCTATGATGAAAATCTTACAAACATTTGCATTATTATTATTTTTATTATTGAAAATACCTCACTGCTTACATCGAGCTCCAGTTTTTCTGGACTGTGACTGGGTCCAAAGGAAAAAACAAAGCTAAAATGGAAGGGAAGGAGAAAAAAATGGAGGGTGGGGGAAGGGGTAGGATGCACCCAGACAAGGTAGATTCCTAGTGGGTGTTCTGTGCTACCCCAAGTAAGCAGGCCCTACTGAATGTTCTAGAATAGCTGGGATTTCTATATATTTGGTTAATTTCTACAGATCATTCTGTAGTAAGCAAATATTAAGTGCCTATGTGTCCAGCACTGTTTTAGGCAATGAACAAGCCAGATTCCATGAGAAGTTTAAAACACATTTAAAAATAATTCATTACATACATTGTAAATATACAAGTGAGTGAAACTAATATGATGAGAAACCATGAAAGCACTAATGTTCATGAACTGCATCTAGAGCAGACACACATGAAAATCAGCTTTACCTTATATTTCATCTTGGGACATGAATGAATGTAGAAACCCATATAATAATAGCTGAGTTGAGATGTTTTCTGATGAAGTTGCCTAGTAAAACCAATTTCTCTGCCAAAAGAAGAATAAAGATGAAGGTACAGTTAAATCTCGTTCCAATACTCAAAGTACATGTAATTTGATGTCAAATATCTGATAACATCTGAAAATATAATGTTAAGCTATTAAGAAACTCCAAGTGTTGAAAGCAAAACAATTTTAAAAATACTTTAAGGGGGCGCCTGGGTGGCTCAGTCGTTAAGCGTCTGCCTTCAGCTCAGGTCGTGATCCCAGGGTCCTGGGATCGAGCCCCACATTGGGCTCCCTGCTCCACAGGAAGCCTGCTTCTCCCTCTCTCACTCCCCCTACTTGTGTTCCCTCTCTCGCTGTCTCTCTCTCTCTCTCTGTCAAATAAATAAATAAAAATCTTAAAAAAAAAAAAACTTTAAGATAGCTTTTACTAAAAAGACATAAACAACTCTAAATTATTTTGAGCAAATGCATCTAAGTTCACATTTTACACTTTATTGAGCATATTAGTTGATCTAAAATTCAAACAGCATAAAAATAAGGAGATCTATTTAAGACATTACTCATTATCCCCTGGAGTTCTCAAAAGACTGGGTTTATCAAGTGAAAAACAGTGCAGCAAGTTTTATAAAACTCAAAAACCAACACATTTCAAAGAATGACTATTATTATGACCATTTACATGCAAACACTTGCAACTATATATGATGTAAAACTCCTTCCTACATCTAGATGCTACTCTAATATTTATTCTCCCAAAAACTAAAGAGTGGAAGAAAACTATGCTATCTCACCACTTTTTCTCTATTTGTTGGCATAGGCGAGGTTTAACTGAACAAAGACACTGTCAGCAATGCCCAGGCTTGAAGTGGGTTTAATTTGCATCCAGATAAATCCGGGCACAGAACTTCATCCTACTTGCCCAAATGAATGATCGCTTGTATTTGAGAGTTTCAAGGAAACTTTAGTACATTTCTAAAGTAGGAGAAAAGTTGTTTGTTTCGTTTTTATGTTTGTTTCTTGAAGGCCTGCTTTCTTTTTCTTTCTTTCCAATGAATGCTTGATTTCAAGGAGAAATTTTTTAAGTGAATAGTCTGTGCATTTTGCAAGTTCAAATTTAAGTCATGGAAGGGTTGTGATCCTACAGATTCATCTGTAAAATAACAGTATTTCTAAATCCAAGCAGACTGAATGTTATTAGCCTATAACAGAATAAATCCCACTATTCCTAGAACGAATCCACTTTCAAGGTTCAAAGTGAGGAAGGAAGCACTGAGACACCAACGCGGGACCACCCACCTCTGGCGACGGCACTCCTTCCCTCGGTCCTGCATTGCCCCTCTGCTCCCCCAGTTATTCAGGCCCAAACCTGGAGCCATCCTTAACTGTTCTTCTCCTCTCACTCCCATGTCCAATCCATCGACAGGTCCAGCTGGCCCCATCTCCAAAATATACCCTGAATCTGACCACTTCTCACTACCTCCACCTCAGCTATTCTGGTCCACGCCAGCATAATGGCTCCCCTGGGTGACTGCAACAGCTTCCTGACTGGCTTTCCAGGTTCCACTCTTGCCCCTCCTCACCAGTGCCTCCTGCATCTCTATAGGAGATAAATCCCACAGAGTGGCCTAAGTGGTTTTTTACAATATTAATCAGATCAGGTAACTTCCCCAAACCCTTTGCCTTCAAATTGGGTTGATATCACACTTAGACAAAATCGAACCTCCCTACCATGACCTATCAAGCGCAGCTCCATCGGCCCCTTCTCACCAGTGCCTCCTGCATCTCTGCCCTCCCTGCCTAACTCCTGTCTACAGCCTACCCCATATCCTAGCCTGCAGGACGTATCTTCTCCATTCTGACCACCTCAGTTGTTGTACCACCCAAATTTCTACCCTTAGACTTTTATTTAAACAGTTGGGTCCTTTATTTTTTCTTGGCTCCTCAAATGCCACCTGTCCAGAGAGGTCTTTCCTGACTGCCCTATACAAAAAGGACCTCATACCTATCACTGTGATTTTATTTTTGTCACAGCATAATGGAGTATTTAAAATTATGTTGGTATTCTAATTTACTGTCTGCTTTGACAAAGCTGGAAACCCTTATTCATTTCTATGAATTGTGTCCGAGACACATAGACTCTTCTCAAATAAACATCTATTAAACAAATTAATTCATTTCTAAAATTCATCTTGCTAACAAAACATAAATAAATGTCATGCTCATGATCCCCAATTCAAACAATTTTTTTAAACCTACAGACTAGATTATGTAAAAATCTATATTGATTATAGATTTAAATATAAAAACTATATTCATTTACAATTGCTTAAGAAATTAAAGAAATGGAGGGAAACTAGCTAAACAGATTTCACTGAAATACACTATAATCAATAAGAGGACCAGCAATTTATAGCGTGTTCTCCCTAATTTTGCTTGGAAATATCAAATTTCCTGGCTGCCTTTCCTCTTCTAGAAAACTCAGCAACTCATATTCTCAAGAACACTGAAAGGAAATGACAAGACTGTAATGCAGAGGCAATCTCCCTGCTTTCAACTGGCAACAACTTTCATACTCCCAGGCTCCTCTGCTTCTTCCTCAAAGCTCTCCAGCTCTAGAATTTCAAGAGATATACCAAAGCAATAAATAGAACACTTACAATTTTGCTGGGAACTGATTATTTACTACCTCAAATGCAGCAGGATTTCAATATCCCTTAGTTTATTGAGATATGAAATGTCATATATAGGTTGGAATTCACTATGTGGGAATAAATATTCTTGATATTTATCTAAGAAGTCTAAACAAATCCATAGCTACATACTGTAAAGTGATAGATACAAAAACAAAAGAAAAAGGAAAACGACAATAATTTCAAAGTGTTGGCTGATTTTGGTCCAAAGAAAAAGTAGTTTTCTGAAATAAATACACACTTCTAAAGTTACAAAATGTAAATGCTTTAAATTATCAGTTCCAATATCATTGATGTCATTATGTCTCATGAATATTCTTAGTTTATACACAAATGCAATTAAATACATAAGAAAAATAAAAGATTATTACAGAGATCAGTTGTAAACACTGTATAATTGTGAATCTGCTATAACTTGGCATTAGGAGACATTAGGTTGAAAATACCAAGATGGAGAATTTTTCTTTATATTACAGACCACTGAAACACACAGAATCAATTATGGACCAGATTTTTTTACAAAAATCAAATGGAGATTAAAGAAAAATGCCAACTCTTCCACTTTTATAATTCAGAAAAAAACACATACACAACAAATAAAATAAATAACCTCAAAGTGTATCTTCCCAAGATATGAGAATGTGACCACTGGGCACAGAGATTGGGAAAAGAGAAAACAATGACACCATGAGAACGAGAGAGTCTCAAGGTCCCAGACAAGCAACAGAAAAATAATTTTCAATTCTCCTTCCCTTCTCTACCACATATATACGCAGACAAGAAGGAATAAAAATAGAACAAGTATTTTCATGGAATAAGGCCCTAATCTTTCTACCATCAGGATAATGCAAAATATCTGTGTTGTGCTGCATATATGTGCAGCCATGGACATAAAAGGGAAATAATCTTTTGATGAGAGCCACAGAATTTAGTGGACAGTTAGGGACTTCCCAGTCCTGTTCCATATACTTTCTCACATTACTTTATTTACATTAGATTCATTTAACCTTTAATTATGAAAAAACATATACAACAATGACAAAAATATGTAAATACTATAATATTTAAGGAACATTAAGTTGTTCTTGATAGAGTAGCTTAAATAAATACATAAACAAAAAAAGCACCCCACAAATACAATGACTTGTCATATACTAGACGAGATGGATAACTTAAAAAGCTAGGGAATTACCATCAGACATCGGCCTCAGTTCTAAAAGGGTATTCTAAATACCAATATATAACAGACTACTATAGCAACAAAATTATGAACTATCAGGTAGGATTTCTGCTGTTATATGATGAACTCTAATCAAATGAGGAATTATCTGAAGTTCCATATGACCCATGAGAGCTGTCAAAAGTAATCTTACCGTAATGCAGAGTAGACACCCAAAGACAGGAATGAATAATCAGGATCATAGTACAAATATACAGACGAGACACAGTATGGAAGGATGTCAATCACCCCCACAGCAATGATTCTTCCATCAAGCCAATACTGCTGGTGAAAGGAGCCATAACCACAATCTGGTCCATGAAGGGGATTCTCAGCCTGTGAGAAAGCAGACATACATATGAACAGTTTGTTGTCTCTACCTTTATATTAAAAATCTTAATAATTATCCTATTATACTTTTATTTTCCGCTGTAACTCCTAAAATTTCCCATGTTGCCATCATCCTCTGCAGTCACACCCTGTGAAACTTTTTACTTGTATAAACACTGACCAAACAAAAGAATGAGAAAAAGAAATAAACTTAAGATTTTTTTAACTTGTTTAAAAATTTAACAGTAGGAAATATAAATTTCACAGGGTAAATAAATATTAAACTATATTTTCTGTTCCACATAAAATTTAGGAAAAGAAATGGTGTATGAGAGAAGATGGAGAACAGAAAAGGAGAGGCAGTGGGTGAGAACAGAACTGCCCCCATACTGCCAGCTGGGCCTGATCTGTGACAACCCTGCACTGAAAAGGCATATGATTCCATTATTTTTTCTAGGTAAGAGTTCTTGTGTAAAAGGGCTATAACACTTCCTCTTTCCGGCCAAAAGAAAATAAAGTTATTTCCTTACCATTATCCTAATGTAACTATAATCCACAAAAGAAACAAAGAGATTTCAGAATATTACCATTTATCTGTAAATAGTTGAGTGACATTTTTCATTTTAAAATTCAGTATGACTTTATTTTTTTTAAAGATTTATTTATTTTTAGAGAGAGAGAAAGAGCACGTGGGGGGAGCAGGGGAGGAGAGCTGAGAGGGAGAGAATCTCAGACAGACTGCCTGCTGACTGTGGAGCCTGACAGGGGGCTCAATCTCACAACCCTGAGACATCGTGACCTGAGCCAAAACCATGAGTAGGACATTCAACCCAACTGAGCCACCCAGGTGCCCCCAAAATTCAATGATTTTAAATATAACTGTTGCTAAATGAAAATCATAAAACAAAAATTATGACACATCATAAAAAATGCTTTGCTCTAGGGATGTTAGAGATTGACAATTTAAGTGAACAAATACAATAGCACATGTATATCATTTTCATACAGCTAAAATCACAGATAATATGTATGGATACAAGTAGATGAGAATGAAGAAAAATGAAATAAGTTGGTCTACCAATATTAAAACCAGGAAAAAAAAATTACAAGATAGGAAATCTACAGATCAGTATCTCTCCTAACACAGATGCAAAAATCCTCACCAAATATCAATAAATCAAATCCAACAATGTATAAAAAGAATTATATAATGTATGTGACAAAGTGGGATTTATTCCAGGTACAGGAGGCTGGCTCAACATTAGAAACGTAATTTTTTTAAAAAAGCAATTAATGTATTCCATCATGAAAACAGGCTAAAGGAAAAATCCTATGATATATCAACTGACACAGAAAACACCTCTGACAAAACCCAACATCCTTTCATGACTAAAAACTCAACAAACGAGGAAGGGAAAGGAACTTCATCAACTTAATAAAGAACATATACAAAAAATCTACAGCTGACATCATACTTAATGGTAAGAAAATGGATGCTATCCCCAATAAAATCAGGAACAAGGCTATGATACCCTCTCTCATCACTCCCATTCAACATCATAATGGAAATCCTAGCTAGTGTAATAAAATAAGAAAAGGAAATAAAAGGTATAAAGATTGGGAAGGAAAAAGAAAAACTGTCCTTATTCACAAATGACATGATTTACCATGTAGAAAATCCAAAGAATCAACAAAAAATGGAAGTAATAAGCAATTACAGCAAGGTCACAGGATACTGAGTTAACAATCTAAAGTCATTTGCTTTACTATATACCAGCTATAACTGGAATTTGAAATTAACAACCCAATACCATTTGTAAAACCAAAAAAATTACATGACTAAGTATAAATCTAACAAAATATGTACAGAATATATATGCAGAAAAAAATGACAGAAGGAATCAAAGAAGAGGTAACTAAATGGAAAAAGTATTGCATGTTCATAGATTGGAAGACTCAATATTGGTAAGATGTCCATTCTTCCCAAGCTGGTTCACAGATTTAATGCAATCCCAATCCAAATCTCAGCAACTATTTTGCGGATATCAACAAATTTGTCTAACGTTTATATAAAAAGGTAGAAGACCTAGAATAGCCAACATAATACTGAAGAACCAAGTCGAAGGACTGACACTACCTGCTATCAAGACTTAGGATAAAGCTGGGGCGCCAGAGTGGCATAGTCGGTTAACCGTCTGACTCTTGGTTTCTGCTCAAGTCATGATCTCGGGGCTATGAGAGCCCCGTCTGTGTTGGGTTCTGTGCTCAGTGCAGAGTCTGCTTGAGATTCTCTCTCCCTGCCCCTCCCATTTGTGCACACGCTCTCTCTCTCTCAAATAAATAAATAAATCTTAAAAAAAAAAAAAACTTACAATAAAGTAATGAAGCTACAATAATCAAGATAGGGTGATACTGGTGAAAGAACAGACAAGTAGAACAGTGTAAAAGAACAGACAGCCCAGAAATAGACCCACATAAATATGGCTGACTGAAAGGAGCAGAGACAGTTCAACAGAGAAAGGACAGTCTTTACAACAAATGATGCTGTAACAACTGAACACCCAAATGCAAAAAAAACTAAATCTAGACACAGACCTTACATCTTTCAAAAAAATTAGCTCAAAATGCACCATAAGCCTAAATGTAAAATGCAAAACTATAAAACTTCTAGATGATAACATAAGAGAAAATCTAGGTGACCTTGGGTTTTGTGATGAGTTTTTAGATACAATGCCAGAAGCATAATCCATGAAAGAAATAACTGACAAGTTGGACTTCATTAAAATTAAAAACTGCTTTGGGAAACACACAGAAGAATAAAAAATGAAGCCACCGACTGGAGAAAATTGCAACACATGTATTGGATAAAGGACTGGTATTCAAGAACAGAAAGACTCTTAAAAATTCAACAGTAAAAAAACAAACAGCCCAATTAAAAACTGGGCAAAGTATGTGAGCAAACACCTCACCAAAGAAGAGGTACAGGTGGCAAATAAGCATATGAAAAGATGCTCAACGTCATTTGTTAGGGAATGGAAAAGAAACAACAATGAGATAGTACTACCCAACTATTAGAATGGCTGAAATCCAAAAACCTGAATATTAAATTCTGGCCAGGATGAGGAACAAAAGGAACTCTCATTCATTGATAATGGAATGTAAAATGGTATGGACACTTTGTGGAGGACGGTTTGAGAGTTTCTGACTAAGCGAAACATAGTGTTACCATATAAAACAGTAATCACATTCATAGGTATTTATCCAGTTTGTCTGAAAACTCAGATCACGCAAAAACCCAAAGGCCTGCATGCAAATGTTCGTAACAATTTTATTCATAATTACCCCAAACTGGAAGCAACTAGGATATCCTTCAATAGGTGATAAACAAATCATGATACATGGAATACTATTCATCAATCAAAAGAAATAAATTATCAAGTCACAAACAGACAAAATGAAGAAACCTTAAATGCATATTGCTAAGTGAAAGAAGCCAGTCTGAAAATGCTACCTACATACATTCCAAATACATCCTGTAAAAGGCAAAACTATAAAGACAGTAAAAAGATCAGCGGCGGCCATGAGCGTGGGGGATTTGGGGGTGGGATGAGTAGATGTAGCACAGGGGACTTTCAGGTGAAGCTATTCTCTCCAATTCTGTACTGGGGGATATGTGACATTATGCACTTATCAAAACTCAGAACTTTATGACACAAAGAGTGAGCGTTAATGGATGCAAACTAAAAGAAAATCATTTAGGAGATTAAGGGATTCCAGGAAGGAACAGAAATATGACAAGAGAATCTAACTGTATTACAAATGTGAGAAGTAACCTGCCTGAAAGCAGTTGGGAGGGGAAAGGTGCTGACCTCAGGAACCTTCGGGGTCTATAAGAATGAAGGCAAAAGTAAATCTGCCATAAGCATTATATTCTACCTGATACAGTTGTTTTACATGAGACTACAGGTTAACAATTCTGACATTAATACACATATCTACTGTAAATGGATGGAGGCTTCTCACTGTTGGAGTGGGAATTTACAGATAAGCAAGATAAAATCCACAGGGTAATAGATTAGAATTGGAGACATGAGTCTCCACTGTATTAAGCTAAACTGTTTAGCTTAATATAGACAAGATGGTTACATACAGAAATATTTATAGGTCTGTATACAACAAATATATGTTCATACAATAAGAGTTAGTATGCACATATTTCTTTACTCTGTCAGATGAGAAGGCCTAAAGAAATGACACCCTAGTAGCAACAAGCACACCTAGCACCTAGATCTTGGTTTCTCCATTCTGTAGTATAAGGAACAAGCCTATTTGGGAAAATGGCTGATTCCAGGACTAGGACAGGAAATATACAAGATAAGCCTGGTTCATCTTTTTTAAGATTTATTTATTTCAGAGACAAAGTGAGCAAGCAAGTGGGAGGAGGGGCAGAGGGAGAGACAGAATCCCAAACGGACTCCACACTAAGCGCAGAACCTGATGCAGGGCCCAATCCCAGGATCCCAAGATCGTGATCCAAGCCAAAACCAAGAGTTGGATGCTCAATCAACTGAGCCACCCAGGCTCCCCAGCCTAGTTCATCTTGTAGTGTCAAAATGTAAGAAAGCAACAAAAAGAAACACCCATTGATGGAGTTCTATCAAAGGGGCACAGGGGACGACTAAAAGAGTTCCCAATGGCCAAAGCTGGAATAATTTGAGCAACAAAATAAAGTAGTATCAGATTACGACCCAAAGTACAAAAGAAATATCCATGAGTGCATACTAATGTATATGATTGAAAAAATTAATAAATGAGGAGGAAAGACAAATTTCCCATGCAGAAGAAATCCAAAAAGTTTATGTAAATACTCTGCCCTAAAGGTAAGAGAGCATAACTCCCTCCTGAAGTGTGGGCTACACACAGGAATTCCCTTCCAAAGAGTACAGGTATGGGAAAGGGGTTAAGAGAGTAACTGCACAGGTGATCAAGATCAACAACAGCAAATG